ATCCCAGCTCCTCAAGGAGACTGAGGCAGGAGGATCCCTGGCGCCCAGAAGTTAGAGGTTGCAGTGGGCTATGATGATACCATGGCACTCTAGCCAGGCAACAAAGTGAGACCCTATCTCAAAAAAAAAACCCCAAACCAAAAACCTCCTGTGGGTGTGCTGTCATTCTAACAGGGGTGTCCACCCTGGCCCAAGGGTCACATGGATTATGTAAGGATTTTTTTGGCTATCTGTGGTGACTGATACCACAAAAATTATACACATACCTTTTTTTTCCTTATCAGCTTTTGTTAGTGTTTGTGTATTTATTGATTGATTGATGTTTTTGAGGCACAGTCTCATTCTGTCAGTCTGGTTAGAGTGCCGTGGCACCATAGCTCGCAGCATCCTCAAACTCTTGGGCTCAAGCCATCCTCCTGCCTCAGCCTCCCAAGTAGCTGAGACTATAGGCACCCACCACAACACCCAGCTAGTTTTTCTATTTTTAGTAGAGACAGGATGTTGACCTTGCATAGACTGGTCTGGAACTCATGAACTCAGGCAATCCACGCACCTCAGCCTCTCTGAGTACTAGGATTACAGGATAGAGCCGTTGCACCTGGCAGTGTTTGTTTATTTAATGTGTGGCCCAAGACAACACTTCTTCCAGTGCAGCATAGAGAAACTATAATATTAAACACCCCTGAAAGCCTCTGGTTAAGTGAAATATTTCGGATATAGTAAAACTTGAATGGTACTAGTGTGTTTATTTGCCCGAAGGCTGTTATGTTGTCATATGACTTTTCTGCCTCCTTCCCCCAGTCTGTGACCTCTTTTGCCATTATCAGGAAAAACCTGTCTCTCATCTTCTCCCCTTACTAGTTCTCTGCCTTTGGATGACTGTGCCTGAGAAACTGAATAGCCAAGCTAGTTAGAACCGTGTCTAAAATAAGGACAAATAGGCCTGCACATGAGTACGAAGCTCTCACAAATGAATATAAGTATATGACTTTGGGTCCAGAGACAGCATCACGACATAGAGGCTTTTTTCTCCCTTCCTAAATAATTTTCAGTCATGTAGTTAAGTTGTAGGCTAATTGTCTTTCAAAGAGATTGTTTAGAACATGAGACGGTCTTGAATAAAGCTATGTACAAAAGAGTCTTCTTCAGTGAAAATTGCAGACTGGGCTCGGTGCCTGTGGCTCAAGCGGCTAAGGTGCCAGCCACATACACCTAAGGTGGCGGGTTCGAATCCCCAGCCCGGGCCCGCCAAACAACAATGATGG